GAACCGCGGCCACGCGTGGCTGCGGTGGCTGCTGGCAGCGCGTTCAAGCGGGAGCGAGAGCAACCACAGTCTCTTTTCGCGTCATCTCGCGGCGAGCAAAGCAACCATTCGTTGCTGATATAGAATGGGAAGATTGCACCCCCCCCCCCCCCCGCTTCAAGGCAATCACCTGCTCGCGCGTAATCGCCTTGAAGGGGGAGGGAGTCAAAACCTTGCTGCTAGTTCACTGGTCACAATTGCGTGCGACATTTCGCGGCTTGAAGGACTTCGCATGGTGTTTCGCAAGGCGTTCGTGCAACAAGCGTGAGACAAGCGCTTACGCAGCGGGCACTTCAACGTGGCCTTTAATAAATCGCACACCCACTGGATGACCACAATTCATTTCATAATGCATATAGAACATTGCATATTCTCCCCACTGGGTTTGTTTATTTTTGTACTGTGTCGCGTAGCAGGTTCTGTTGGACGCTTTTTTCTCACGCCTAGTCCGCACTCAAATCACTCATGGGCGCCCAGCTCAGCGCATATTGCAAAAGATCACCAAGGTTTCCCCGTTGCGACACCCAAGTAACACACTCGCACACGCACATGTGGCAACGCTGATGCCACGGCTTTTGCAGGTTACAAATCACAGGCGCTCACATTCTGCAAAACACAGACGCGTGAATTCAGACTTCACCTTCACCTAACTGCACATGAATGACCACGACGACAATCGTCGAGAGTGGTCACCCTCGAGCGATATGCATGGTGCACCCAAGCAACTGATGAAGTTGACGCCTAGTTGCTGCTTTACGCTGCCGAAACGATGGAACGCGATAAAGCTCTGCCGCTTTAGTGCACTTCAAACAGTGAAAAGTCAGAGACGTCCACGTCGACTGACGGCCAGCGAGGGTGATGTTGAGTGCGAAACCATGAAGTAACTTCTTAACCAAGAAAACACCAGCAGGAAAACGGAATGAGCGCCTCCGGTTTTGGTGCAGCGGCACATCGCCTCTCGTCGCGAACGCCGCCATGCTGTATTTGTCATTGGTTCATCATGACTGTTACGTCATAGCAAAAAGCGGCCGCACGTGGACGCACATAACACAAATAGGCTGTGGTACACTTTACTTTTTAAGGGCGAAGCTCCTTATAACGGCACCCGTTCGTCCCTCATAGCCGTTGTAGTATGTAACAAGTACAACATTTTGACCTTTAAGGTAGTGCTGGTAAGAGATTTCTTCTGTAGGTTATTGAACAATAAAAAATAGTGCTCAATGTACATGACAGTGGCTGTTAATGGGGAATGAAAAACAGGAGCATTCGGCTTTTAGTTAACGCGCACGCTGCGATCTCCATTACCAGTCATTAACATGTACATTGAGCACTATCTGACAAGAAAGGGTTGTTCGTTATACTCACTCGGCGTAACCTCCTTGGTTTTAGAAAGGGTTAGAAAGCGTTAAGCCGCAGTGCCATGAATACAGTGAATTAGTATATACTATGAATGAACCCGAGGTGGTTAAAGGTGGGAAGTAGATACGAGGCGCAAGCCGTAAGAAAGTAAAAGCCGAATTCTCCTGTCTCTCATTTCCCATTAGCAGCCATTGGCATGTACATTGAACACTATCTGACAAGAAAAGGTTGCTACGTTATACTCGCTGGGCGTAACCTCCTTGGTTTTAGAAAGGTTTAGCGAGCGTTGGGCCGCAGTGCCATGAATACAGTTAACTAGTATATACCATGAACTCGAGGTAGTTAAAGGTGGGAAGTAGACCCGAAGCGCAAGCCGTAAGAAAGTGTGCATGGGGCACCTCTCGTTTCGTCCTTGGAATGTCCGCTGGAGGGCGGTGCTTCTATATGGGGAATATATGATGAAAAGGTGTGAGATGGTGGTACTTGCAATGGAGTGTTGAATAGATGGACGAACGTACACACAGACAGATGCATAGATGGATGCATGAACGGACGTAGGGGCGAATGCATAGACGGACGCAGGAACGGACGCCCGAACAGACGTACGCACGGACGGGCGGATGGACGCATGGACGGTCACACAGACGTACGCATGGACGGATGGAAGCAAGAACGAATGGACGGACGAATGCTTTGCCCCACTCTCCATCATTCACTCCGTGGATATGCTGCCAATTTTTTTTTTATTCTTAGGTTGTCACCGACTATAATAGCCAGCGTGCACGGTTCGAAATTACTATGAAGTGAACTACACCAACAAAGTTCTCGACGTGGCGTTGACGTTTCACAGTGGTGTCTCGAGCGCGAATTTCCGGATGTTCTCGAGCGGCGCTCAGCCAGCGAACAGTCGAGAGTGAGGGGTGACCGGAAGAAAAAGTGGTGCGTTGGTAGGAGAGAGAGCGAACAAATAGAGAAGGAGCGGCGAAGCACTGCACCGGCCCTATCCTACACTGTATTGTACCAAATGATCCAGTTGCTAGGGGCGAGGATAAGAGCGCGCGCCCGCAGCTGTTGCAATGGGAGAGGGAGTGAGAATGGAGAGAACACCTGCTGGCGCGCGGACAATGCCACGGACGACGCTGGATGCCTGACATCGCATGCGCAGTTCATCTGGTGAGATGAGTGTATAAGACGTAGTTGAACTCATCTTGGTCAGTAGTAGTTAATGCTTTACTGAGCTTGGCATCAGTAGCCCGATGCGGTATTCAACGTGTATTGCTTGCGCCCAAACCTGATGGTCAGCCCGTTGCCCGAAATTGTAGCGCCAAAAGCAGTCATCGCAGAATGAAAGTAGTCATCGCAGAACTAAACGAGAATTCAGCCCTGTAAGGTGCGACTGGTTTCATTTTTGCGCCCATCTCGAGCTTGTCGACAAATGGCGTCTTCTGCATACAGGAATGATTTAGATTAGGATGCTTGCAAGCGAGGAAGGTGATCGCGCGCTCGGGTTTCTATTGGTTCAAGATCCTATCGAGAAATAGGTGGATAGCAAAATTGTGGCTCACGGAAAGAATTCCGGGCTACGACGGCCGTCATCATCGACTTCCGGTTCGAGATGCCGTGTCGCCGTATGGCCATTCTTGCCAGTGCCGTCGCTTTCTGCGTGTTTCCCCCAGCACTCGCGCTGCCCTTTCCTGCGTAATACTTCGCAGAGCTATGCAGTTTTGTTGAATAACGAATGAAGCCTCTCTAAGATAGTTATATTCTTGCGAGCGTTAATTTATTCAATCAAGCGGCATGCACTTTCAGAGGCGTGCTTATTGTTCTACTACAAAAGGTGTTATTTCCGCATATTTCCTCACGTATTATTATTTTCTTGATTACATAGCATCACGAATTATCCGTCCCTTTGTTTTCGGGCTGCTTACACGTAAAAATATTTTTTTTTTTTTTCTGTTACAAAGACACCTTCCCGGGTTTGATATAGTGAATGGCAATAGTAAACAGTTTTTTACTCTGAAAATGAAATGCACTCGTAATTTTCTTGCCTTTTTACACCGTCTTCCTAACGTGAGATCTCGTTTCCACACGCACTGGAACATTGTGTTTGGACATATGCGAAATTCTTCGCGCACAAAGTACATAACACAACCTACCGACACTTTACGCTTGCAAGTCTGACACAATACAAACGGAATACCATGCTACTCGTTGCTTCAAAAGCGACTTAGATCGTCCCATGATACCAATATTAGTTGTCCCGTGGGCCTATTACGCTCTCAGCGGTTTCTATAAATTTGACGGAGTACGCGAACATCTGATGTCATCAAAGGTATGTTGACATTCGTCAGCATGTGCCCATAAGCGCGAGTGATTTTGAAGTGCTCCCCATTTGTGGTCGCAATAACTAAATCGAGGTGGTTTTGGAAGACCCATTACTGCATGTTTCAAAGTATAATCGCATGGTGCGTTCAAACCACGCCTCTTACCATACGACGTGTTTGCCTATTTACACTTCTCGCTTCGTTCTCTAAAATGCGTGAGATATCGTGTATTCATTCGCAAATAAAATAAAAAATGAATATAACGACTGTGCAAGCGGCAACAAACTCGTCAGACAATTTCACTTTGTTTCCCTGATTACACTGCGCAGCAGGCACCTTGAAGCAGCGTAGTCGTAGGCCTCGAACCGAAAGTACCGTAGCAGGTGACGCGCCATTTCGCTATCCACTTGTTGATCAGAAATGGAGAATTAAATGTGAGACACGGTTTCGCTCTGTCCAGATCAACTGTAGCCCATCGCGATCGTGCCGTGATATATGCGTCATCAAGCCGAAGCCATTCAATGCCGATGAGGAAAATTTCGTTCCAGAACATATTATGCGATGAACGTCACGGCTGGTGAGAGCTATGTTGAATCCCAATGGCAGCGTCCGAGCAGCCGATAGGCTCTGTGAGTGAGCACTCGACTCTGGCGTAGAGCAGTGGATTCTGGCGTAGCGCAATGCCTCCGAACGCGTGATTGGAACACAACCCGCGCCGCCGGAGCAAACATCGAAGCAAGGAAGAAGTGGGATTCCTTGAGTTGCCCAGATTACCTTGCGGGTAGGTATTCAATTAAGCTGATTCCGCTGTCGAATTTTGTTGAATCACTGCTCGTACGTAGTAGTTTTAGTGTCGGCGACACGATTCGACGGCCTACTCGAGCAGGAACTGAAGCTGTCGCAATCGAGCAGTGAAGCAATTCCGCATGCTTTGCCAGGTCTACCATGGTAGCCGCCATTACTGTCAAAACACGCGACAGCGGTGACGCTCCCAAGCATTCGAACGAGTTGAATGGAGCGCGTCATGCCTACTTTCGGTCCACTCTGCCGATTTCTGTAGAGCAACTGTTCCTGCTTTGAGAATTTCTCCCGCTCTGAATCGACTCTGACTCCCTAATCGGAACACTTGACTCCCGCCGTCACTCTGCAATTGAAACACACTTCCTTCAAAACGAGCAGAAAAAAATTGCTCCGACTCTGCCATTGGAATTAATCAATAACAGCGCCAGCAAAGAACACTCGCTAACAGTGCCTTGATCATTTCGAACCTGTGCGCAGCGGATTCTGGGAGCGCCGGTCTACGTTCGAGCAGTGGCTTCTGGTTCTTTGCTCGTCAGTGGTCCTAGTGACCTGCGTGACGCTGACCTACACTTTCTACTACGCACGTGAGTACGGGAAAGGTCAGTCGAATGAAACAGCTCTGTCGGCCGCTCACATGTTTTGTCATGTCACGCAGCTGAACGGCTCAAGCAGGTTGGCATCGAGTACTACGACTGCCAGGCGCAGTTGTGCAAGGACGCAGGTGAGGCTGCATGTCATCCCTCGCTGCCGTACAAATGCTTCCTCTCTGCTCGCAGCCATCGAACTCAAAGACACTCTCAACCTGAACCGGGACCCATGCAAGAACTTCTACGAGTATGCGTGCAGCCTGTGGTCCAGCCGATACCCGATACCTGATGACATGGGCCACTATTCAGTTCACCACTTCGTCCGAGATGAGGTCACCAAGAAGATTTTTGGTAATATCCCTTCTGTCGTCTTCTTCGGCTACACCTTTCTCATTTCCCATCCAATAATACCTCGACTTGGGCGAGTTGGTACACATCCATAGAGTGCACGTCACGCCACAGACAGGTTCTCGGCAATGGGTACTCAGGCATGGCGGTCAGCGTGGCTTTTTGTCTCATTAGAGAGGGTCAGTGGAGAGGAGGACGTAATTGTTCGGTCCCCGTGCTTTTTTGTGCTGCCCGTGCTTTATTTTGTTCGACAGCCGGTTACAACGCTGAACACAACGGAACGAGTGGGGCCCCGACACTATTCTGATGCCACAGTTTCTTGCTCCGTGCGTTCGAGTAATAATAGTACACATGGCATCTCAACCAGCAGGTACCCAGACATGGTGACGTCAAGGCACACTATATATACCCTCGTGAATGCAGCAAGATGAAGACAGGAGACGAGTGCAGAGTTTGAACTGAGTTTATATGCGCTTGTTAATGATGTAAAATATAAAGAAGTAAAGCAAAGATGCTGTAGGTGAAAATGATCGCATGTTTACAAGTAGGACGACAGGCTGAAGCTGATGCACACCTATACAAGTGGATCGTAATGTGGCCTTAAACGCTGTACGTCAATGGTTTCACGATGCCGGAAGCGCTGGTCTGTTGATTGCGTGACCAGTTCGACGCTCTAGCTGACAGGCGAAGTCTGTGCGACAGCACAGTAAGGTTATTGATATTTTGAAACAAGAGAGAGAATAAAATGAGGGAAAGGCAGGAGGGTTAACCAGAAATTGTAGCATCCGGTTTGCTACCCCGCACTTAGGGAAGGTAGAATGGAGAAGAAAGATGGGAAAGAAAGCGAAGAGCAAAATAGACGCGCGAAAATGAAAAAAAAAATGAGCTGAGGTGCTATAGCATATACAATAGGCTACTACCGCGCAAAAAGTTCCATAAGTCCTTCACTGATTTTCTGTGCGAAGACAGATCATGTCGCCTTTCAAGCAATGATTCTTCTGACAAAGGTCTTTGTCAAGTTGAGCGAACGCAGCAGCTTAGCTGCCGTCTTTGCCCGCTATAACGAGGGCAGTGACAGAGAACGTGCTCTATCGCTTCATCGCTGCGGCAATGACCGCACACAGCACTGTCTTCCATGCCGATTCGAAAGCCGAAAACCTTGGTGAAAGCGCAGTCGGCAAAGCACCGTTGTCTCAAGATGAAAGAGTCCGGACGGAGGCCGATGTCGACGAGACGTGTCCAGCCTAGGCAGTCGCGTGTGCCGTAAGCATTGAGCGTTTCACAGGGATTTTACTTCTTCATTAGCGATTTTTTGGATTTTAATTGCAGCATCAGTCCTTGAAAAGCATATAGATTCTTCTTTACCATCTTCGTGTGCTGATCGAGCAGCTGCATCGGTATGTTCGTTGCCCAATATGTCGCAGTGACAACGGGATTTTGTGTCCTTCGTTGAAGAAGAGGTGAAGCAGCTCTCTAATTTGCAGCACTAGCTGTTCGTGAGGTCCCCGGCATAAAGCGAATACCAAACACTGTAGTGCTGCCTTAAAGTCCGTGAACACGCTCCATTTCTTGGCTTCTTAGTGTTTAATGACTTTAACTGTGCTACGTAGAGCAGCAAGTTCCGCAGCTGTAGATGACGTCTTGTGGGATAACCGAATCTTTGTCGCTGTCGCTGTTGCAGGAAAGATCAGTGACCCTGAAGACCCATCCACTTTTGTTGAAGCGTCAGTATATAGATGGGTATGCTCACTGTACTTCTAGGACAAGAAGAGAAGAGAAAGCTGTTTTAGCGCTGGAGACAAGAGCCAGGCTTTATATGCCTGAAACCGTGAGTTCAACATGTAGATGAGTCATACACCATGGGGGAGTCGCAATTCTGGACGTAGTGGCATATCCCGTGGGTATGTGTGAGCGATACGACAAGATTGTCTGGCAAAATAAGGCACGAGGTTGGTCTTCCGGTAGTGAGGCTAGATGATGGGTAGGGGCGCGAGTAAGATGCCTCACGAGTGCTCTGAGCACTTCCATTAGAATAAGAGTCTTGAGCGGGTAGTCATTTGTGATCGCGATTCTTTCAGCTGTTGATGAACATCGTGGTAGCCCCAGACAAACTCGTGGTAGCCCCAGACAAACTCGCATAGTCATAGCCTGGATGCTTTCGAGTGTCCGAATGCTGGTTCTGCAGGTGTTGGTCTACACAGACAAGCCGTATTGCAAATAGCCGAGAAAAAGCGTCTTGTACAATTGAATCATATCATGTACTGAAGTCCTCCAGGTCTTTCTTCCAAGATACTTGAATAGGTTAGAGATGTCTGTCAGCCTCTCCTTCAAGTGGGCCACCTGTGGGCCCCAGTAGAAGTCTCTATCAATGAATACGCCTAGAAATTTGTGCGTCCTGACATATGGTATGACTTGGCCGTCGATAGATATAGCGTATGGTCTCATTGGCTTTCGACTAAAATCAATCAATGCGCATTTCTATGGCGAGCTTTTCAGACCCTGTTCATTGAGGTACACTGATACCAGCGTCACAGCTTTCTGAAGCCTTCTGCTTACCTGAGGTGTTGTCACGCCAGATCCCCAGACGCAGATGTCGTCAGCGTACATAGATAGCTTGACCACTCTTGGTAGTCGTTCCACAAGACCAATGAGGACGATGTTAAAAAGGGTTGGACTCAGGACGCCACCTTGCGGAACTCCACAATGCGTGGAGTGTTGGGAGGTTGGACCATTGGCACTGTTCACAAATAAGGTCTGCCCTTGTAAATAATTGCGTGTCCAACAATGCAGTTGTCCACCTAGGCCCATTGACTCAATCGCTTCGATGATGGCGCCATGAAGAACGTTGTCATATGCTCCTTTTACATCGAGGAACGTGGCAACAGATAATCGTTTGCATGCTTTATGATGCTGGGCATGCGTGACGAGATCTATAACATTGTCGATGGAACATCGGTGACGGCGAAAACCAGCAATGGTGTTACGATATATCTCGTAGCATTCAAGGTATCATTGAAGTCTGGCCAAGATTATTCTTTCCATTACCTTTCCAACACAACTTGAAAGTTCAATTGGTCGGCAAGAGGTACTGTCCAGAGAAGATTTGCCAGCCTTAAGAAGTGGTACCAAGCAACTAATCTTCCAATCTTGCGGAATGGCGCCAGCTTGCCAGAATTCGTTGAAGATGTTAAGAAGCGCTTCTCGTGCCTGTTCACTAAGGTGAAAGAGCATCTATTAAAAAATGTCATCCGGGCCACTCGACGACGACCTGTTACACAGGACGAGCGCTGCATCAAGCTCCTGTGATGTAAACGGTAAATCCATGCGTTCGTCCCGTGAGTGAGGAATATGGTTCACTGTGTGTAGGCTTGTTTACGTTGTCTGGTCCACAATCATAGCGCAGAAATCTTCTGCTACCTCAATTTTATGTCGGTGATAGAAAAGTGCAAGGTCTTTGAAAGGAAAGCGCTGCTCTGGAACAGAACGTAGGCCTCGCACAGATCTCCATACTTGAGACAGTGGTTTATGAGCATCTAGCGACGCACAAAATTTTCTCCATCGTTGTGTGTCTACTTTGCCGAGGCGCTGTTATATTTTCTTTTGGATGCGTCGGGCTTTTCGTAGATAATCTGTGGAACTGGTACGTCGGTATCTTCTTTCGGCACGATGGCGGATCGCACGAAGTGGCTCGAGCTCGAGGTCAAATTCAGAGTACTTCGAAGAGCATATTATTGTGTGCATAGCCGCATGTTCAGCTTCCTTAATAGCTTGCTGAAGAACATGGGAGAGGCCTTCCTCATAAGCATCCTCAAGTTGAGTTTTGAACATAGTTCAGTCTATTCTTTGCGTCGTGGTAGATGAGTACCTGTTCGAAATACCTTTGATCTTCAAGTAAGTGTGGATGGGGTCGCTTCCGTGTGTTTTAATGTCCAAAAACCCCTTTATCCGTGTAGCGAATCGGCGTTAGGCAAAAGGCAAATCAAGGCAGCTGCTATATGTGGTGCCTCGCAGAAACGTAGAGCTTGCGTCACTCAAAAGGACGAGTCCATGGCTTGAAACCAATGATGCTAGACGTCGTCCTGTTGAATTAACCCTTGAGCATCCCCAGAAGGGATGATGTGCATTGAAGTCCCCGGTGGTAACCCACGGACCTGGATGGGCCCTTAATATGCCGCCCAGTTTGTTGGCGTCGAATCGACTTGATGGAGATATATACAAACCCAGGAGTGCGAATGTCACCTTTCCTTTTTTAACAGTCAAGCACAGATACTGCTTGTCGTCGTGAGGTTGCACTGACTGGACGACGTAGGTAATCTCTCGGCGAATAAATACAAGCTTGCTATTTTTGACGTCACTTGATGAGAAAAATGACTCGTAGCCGAATAGTCTGATTGGGTGTGATAATTTCGGTTCACACATAATCATAAGAATCGGTAGAGATGTGCGAACTGACAGAAATTGGAAATGCGAGATCTAAGACCTCTTGCGTTCCGCTGAAAAATCGGCGATTCTCTAACATCTTGTTGAAAAGACTTGTGATTGTCGGCAATGGTTTTACTGGAGGCTTGCAAGGACCGCGCTCAACGCGTCCCGTACTTGTAGGCTGCTCCTAGCAGTTGGCGTATCAATGCTTGTCAGAAGACATCTGATGACACTCACAATGGATCGCAGCATAGGAATAGTTTGACGATCTGCTGTCTGAGACTCGTCAACAGCAGCATTGGCTTTCACTAGAAGCAGCGATCGGGAAGGCTGCCTAGAGGCCGTGCGTTCGCAAGCGCCGGCCAGTCTTCATGGAAGAGAGGCGTCACTGGTGGAGGTATTCTTGTGCTGTCCGTCTTTTTGCTAGATGTTGATGGCAGTGTAGACTTAAGTGGTGCATGAACATCACCATGTCTGGAACGCTTCCGTTGGTGGAGACGTCGACACCGGATTTTCTCCGAAGCTTCTCTATAAGTGAAGTGATCCCTGACCATCTGTTTTAGGATACCGAATTATTTCTC